ATCTTCACCACTTTCCTGCATACACTTTGTTGGCTGAATCAGTTATAGATGAAAGAGGAGAGGATCAAAGTGTCCTTTTACCAGTGGATCAGAGACGCCATGCTGAAAATGTGCACGTCTGCTACAAGCTAAGTTTTGAAAGCAAACACGGAAGCTGTAGGGTCCATTGACAAAAAGAGATTAGTTCACTTCTCCTGTCCCACGTAATCCGCTTCAACCCCAAGCCACGACTCCCGGTTCCACATCCGCACCGGCCGCATTGGCGCTCTGCGCTAACGCTCCTTTCTTCTCATCGTCGGCTCCTCAAGCCTTGCATCCATCCAGCCGCAGACCGTTCAACAGCACCGATCTCTCCGCTGAACAAAGCGGGGCTGTGAAAATGCTGCCCATTACAGGCACAAGACACAAGCGACGACAGTCAAATGGCGCCGACATTCCTCCCAATCAAAAACAGTGCTGGCATACACGTGCTGCCAAGAAGGCGCAACCACCAAGCACAGAGTCTCCTCCTTGATGAATGTCGTGGCCAAAAAATGCTGAAAACAGTCCACATCAGGTCTACACGACATAACAACAAACACAAAGTGACAAAACAAACAGAAAAACAACAAAAAAAGCAAGGCTCATGAGAGCACTTGCCGACAGCTGCCTACTCGGGCGCCATCTTGGACTTCAATCATGAGTCCCCTTTAAGAAAATAATTAACTGAATGTCGATAAATGTAATCATGTGATTAACTTTTTGGCATCATTCTTACTTGTGGCCTCTTGAAGCAGTCTGCATTGATTTTGAGTATCATGAAGGTCACGCTGGACTTCCTCTAGTTCGCCTACTTTCTCCTGAAGTTTAGCTTCCAGTGTCGCCACCTGTGAAGCCGTCAATTCTTTTAGCAGTTTGTGTTACAAAGGCAGTCATCAGTCTTCTACTTACTGACCGTGTTCTCTTTTAGGGTGCATTCTTGCTGATAGTTTTCTTTCAGCTCTTCAAGTTTTTGCAAATTTGCTTTAACTGTGAATGAAAAGAGATTTTTTTTTTTTTGGTCAACATGCAAAAAAGAAAGAAACGTTGAAGAACGAACCAGAATGCATCTCGTTGTCATTGGCTTCAGCTTGACCGCGAAGGTGTTCAAATGCCACTATCAGTTTCTGGGAAGATTAATTATTCATTGTCTGACCGTTTATTCCTGTTTAGATTTCAAGTTTGCATGCGGTTTAGCGACCTAAACATGAGGCAAAACTCAGACCTTCATGGTTGCCGTGATGGCTTTCATATTAGAGGATGTGCTCTCAAACTTCAGCTCAAGAGCCTTCTTCTCAAAATTAACCTCATTAAAGTTAGACAGCAGCTCTTCATACTTAGCTCTGGAAAGCGGAACAGCATTGGTCATGCGCAATACGACAGTGTGATATAATAGGAGGCTGTTAATTATGGAGTGACTCACTGATTCTGTGTGAGTTCTGTTTTGAGTTGTACTATCTCAAAGCTGCACTCCTCTGCTTTCTTCATTTCACTGAACAACTTTTCCTCCAGCTCGTGTACTTTCGTCTGTGGAACAGCGTGAAAACACATGGAGCTGAGTAGTGCAATCATTACAATGTGTCTGCTCCCATACGATTTCCACAGTTGATGTAAAAACCTCAGAGTTGCGCTGCTTCTCCAAGAAATATTTTTCTGCCTTTTCACCAGCTTTCTTGAGCTTTTCGTTGTCTACACGTATAGTCTCTGCCTCACACTGGTTTAAGGAAAAAAAAAAGTTGTCTGATCAATGTAGGGTTCTTAAAATATGTATCCATTTGGAAATTACTGTTGTGCATCACCATGACTCGCTGGGCTTCTATGGTTTTTGCCGAAAGCTCATCTTGGAGATCATTCACTCTGACCTCAAGAACATCAGCTTTTCCCTTCACAAGCTCTATTAAGCTCAAGCGTTTTTCCTGAGAGCACAAATAACAAAGAAGCAGTGTTTTCAATTGAAATATAGCAAGGTACACACTAAAATAAGTCAAACTCACTAATTCACTCTGAAGGATGGTGATTTGCTCATCTTTTCTTGCCCTCTGTTCTTCAAGTTCTCCTGTCAGAGTAAAAAATAGTTGCTTTGACTTTTTTTTTTTTAAATACAAATTGAGCACCAAATATGTGAAGATTTCTTTCACTTAGACTCACCCACAACTTGAAGACTCCTTTCAAGTTCTTTGTTTTTCTCCATTAGTTTTTCCTCGCAATCCTTAGACCTGAAACAGTAATTCCGGGACCAAAATGACCAAAGTAATCACCACTCAGGCTTCCATGCTGTGAATTCACAAGAGTATGTACCTTCGTTCCTCAAAGGCTAATGAATTCTGCAGCTCCACAAGGGTTCTCTGAACTTGCTCGAGCGTCTCGGCTAGTTCATTTTTGACTCGGCAAGCCTCCTTCAAGCTTAAATCTTTGCTGCTGAGGATCTGTTCATGTTCTTCTTTGCTCTGTCTCAGCACGACATCCATGGCCTCCTGTCTTGTCTTTGAGGGAGGAAACATGTTTCAGCTAAAGCAGACAACCCACAACTGAGGGGCGCTTGGAGAGTTTTATGATGTCGAGCAGATAGACTATGCAGATCAATCAGACATGGACAGAGCAGCATCAGAAATCACCTCGCTCTCTTTACAGCGCTGCTCTGCTGAGTGTAGTTTTTCGAGAAGGGACTCTTTCTCCATTTTTGAGCTTGTCAGCTCTTCACATTGTTGAGCTGCAAAAGTAAAAAAAAAACAAAAACATTTTGTGTATTACAAGATGAATTGAACATTGTTAAAGCTCAGGTGCACTCATTTTTACATTTTAAAACAAATCACAGGTGTCTTTTGTCAAAATAACCCAAGGACCAACAATAACAGCAGAACTTTCCCACTCTTGATAGAGTCGGATGTAGATTAGATCAGGAATAGAGTGTTGCATTTTGATATTTCTTCGGTTCCTTATTATTGTGGGAAATTCTCGATCAATTGTCTTCACATAATTGAATATCATTCATTATTAAGAAAAGATATTGAGTAGTTTTGATGAAAGTTGATTTGAGTGATGTGTTTTTTTCATCAGTACTGTATGTATCAAACTGTTAGCCCTTCACACTAATCATTAGCCAAGAAGTAGTTCAGTTTAAAAAAGGTTGGTGACCCCTGGTGTAGGGCTTTCTATACCATGACAACTAGTGACCAATGTTATAATAGTTAATTGAACACTAACAAAATAACTACAACTAAAATTGAAAAAACATTTTGACAAAATAAAAACAACAGCAACAAAACTAAGACTAACTGAAAAAAAACATCTTACGTTTCTAAAACTATTATTATCACGGTTATGTTGAAGTTTTCATCTTTGTTACTTCGTATCATACAAGAGCTTTTGAGGTTCATTTTAAATATATTTATTTTGGTATTACTGTGCAACTGAAGTAAGTACACACAGTTGTTTGACAGTAATAGTTTAATTTTATTACACACTACTTAGTGACTTTTTTTTTTCTTGCACTTGACAAATACTCCATATCGATATATTTAAGATAAAATGAATAAAAACTAAAACTAATCTTTTTGGAAAACATTTAAATGAATTAAAATGAACAAACTTGCTCTAAAAAGTAATTAAAAGTAACTGAATTAAAAAATAAATAAACTACGGTATAATGAAAAATCCAAAACTACTATTACCCCGCTAAGGACGAGTTAGAGGGCTGGGACAAGGCCAGTGCCCACAGATTCAAAACTTCGAGTGTATTTTCGCTCATGGACGAAACACTTCATCACATAACTGTGGTTTTATACGGAGTTACAGTATTGTGTGGACCAGTGCACGTGACGCCTGCAGCACCAAGTGATAACTCCAAACACAAAATGTGACTCCTCAATTCAGGGAAATACAATACGTCTTGCTCACGGACACATTTTCTGAAACAGGCAGCTCAAATAACATTCAGACTAAGGGCCTATTTGATGGACACCACTGCATTCTTTTTTTTTGCAATTTTGGTAGTGCTGATGGTTTCACCATGGAACATTTCAGAAAGCAAGTTGTAGTTGCATCATGCTTTGGGGTTGTTTTTCTTCAGCTCAAAACTGGAACCTTAGACAAGTTGAAATAACCCTGAACAGTTCCAATTACCAGGCAGTTTTGTTATATCGCAAAAACCTGATGTTTGAACAGGGGTGTGGAGACTTTTTATATCCTACTGCACATCCATCCATCCATTTTCCAATCCGCTTTATCCTCACAAGGGTCGCGGGGGGTGCTGGAGCCTATCAACGC